GGAGGAAGGGGCAGCTCTCCTCCGCCCGGGCCCGCTCCCTCTAACGCCCCTGGACGAGGCCCTCTGGAAGGCAAAGCCACAAAGACAGTTAATTTGGGCTGCAAACAAAAACACTGGGGAAGGGAGTAAAATCAATGCTTGCTAAATAGAAAAAAGGATCTAAGTCAGTGGGGAAAACATGTTTATTTTCTACTTCCTAAAAGGTATTGGAGGGAGGCAAATTGATACTGTATACAAATTATAAACTATATAAAAAATTAAAACTCATTGTCCTTTGACAGGAAACTTAAATTACTGCATTGCTAAATTGCAACAGCTTTGGGGATTCTTTCGTGGTCTCTTACTCTTGAGTTTCACAAGGTCTAACCAGTATCTCTGGGGGTGGCTGGATTTAATAGTATCATCTAAAAAGTAATAAGCCCTGCAAGTGATGAAGAGCTGGGAAGGTGCAGACCCCACTGGGATTCAAATTTAATTCAAGGAATTTGGAATTCAGCATCCAAGAACCACTCAGACTTTGCGTGTCATTTTCCACGTTGGGGAAAAAAAAAAAAAAAAGATCTATAGCTAAGAAATGATATAAATTATGCATAAATAAAGGTCTTGGTTGAACATTCACATATTTAAAATAATACACTTGATTATTCAAAAATGAACAGAAGGCCAGGAGAAGATTGTTATTCCTTATTGTATGAATGCTCTGAATCAGGTAAAATAATTTTGATAAGCTGAACTCCAATCACTCAGCCACAAATTAGCCTTTCCTGGGGAAACGGTATAACTGAAGCCTCACAGCTCCACTCTGAAGTAACTCCACCTCCTACAGGTTGCCCCAGAATACTAACGTAAGAAGGGAAGATTTCAGAATTAAGACACAGGTATGGGAGCCAAGAGATGCACAGTCTACTTCTAGTTCTCCTAGCTCCTGTCAGAGCATAAACGTTGTGCCTGCAGCTCTGTACTGCAGTGACCACCTATAAAACAACTGCAGTAATCTCACACACCATCTCCTGCATCCGGACAGAGAGGAAAGTCCAACTTGCACCTGCTGCCTCTCAGCACCTGAGCAGTACAAATAATAACATTTGACAGGAAAATAAAAGCAAAGCAAAACTTTTTATAATCCTGCAAGCATCCTCTCCCCCTCCCAGACAAATCACACCACTTCAGCACAGCTGGATGGCATGAAGACATGGCCTGCAGCTGGCCATCTGACATCTGCTTACAGCTTGTGTGTGCTGTTCCCTGTTACATATGTGGCTCC